TAACAAGTTCCGTAGTGCCCCTTAACCTCCTGAGACCCGAGCATTTGTCTGGTGTGCATTTTATATATTTTTTTGCTATTTAGGATAAGTAGGACCCAATACGTATAATACCTAAATTGTGATTTTGTACAGGAAGTAGTTTTTGAGAAAAAACATGTCCTCGTATGAGGACAGTGGGTCTCTCATAACCTAAAGAAAAAATGTATGCTCTTTGAGGCCGGAAGGTCCTAATTAGTTGAAATTCAAAATTTCAGCTTGATCCAATTAGTACTTCTCTCAAAAATCAATGTCCTCATATGAGTACAGTGGGTCGACCTTACTATACAATACAAATAGACTCCATTGGTCTAAAATAGTATATAACAGTTTATTTGAAAAATGTAAACATCAAAGTTAGACATAAAATCCAAACAGCTCTATCTTCAAAGCCTAAAAATGTCATGGTGTGGACATTTTGACCTGGTTGAGTTTGAATCCTGCCTGTCCTGTTGATTGTTGCCCCGCCCTAATGTGATTCACCTGTGTGTGTATATATACCCTGTGCCCTTCCTCACTTGTTGTCCGTCCATTGTCTCCACAACGTTTGTCCTGTCTTCAGTTCTGTTTTTACATTACCTTGGATTTATTTGATTAAATTACTTTGATTTTCAGTCTTGCAATTTGGGTTCCCTTTTTCTTCATTCATCCACATGACAAAAAATTGGCTATACATAAATAAAACTGCAAAATACTGTGTAAACTGTCTATTTCAAGCCTTCAATATGGCTGAATTGAATTGATAAATACAATACTAGAACAAATAATGGCAAATATTATTAACAGTCCTAAAACAGTAAAATTCTGCTGAACAGCTTTTGAACCGGGGCTTTTTTCAAACTAGCTCCCTCTCTTTTTCTAGAAAGCAATCCGTCTGCCTGTTTGGAAGAGCCCTATTGGCAAGTGTGAAATGCTGCAAAGCAGTTGCGTTCACTTTGCAAGCACAGGTACACATTGCATGTCGAGCATCGGACACAGGATTTTCCAATGCAGTCTTGTGCTCTGCAACGCATGGGGTTTTTCAAGGCTACCATCTCCGGGTTAGAGTTAGGGTTACAATATCCCCAGTCGAGGTCAGCAGCTCTCCACCCGCACCATACACGGTGTTGGCAAAGAACTGCTTCCCCCTCCTGAGGCGCCGGAGGGTTTGCCAGAACCTGTTTGAGGCCGACCGATAGTCATGCTCCATGGACTCTCCGAACTCCTCCCAGTCCCGGGGTTTTGCCTCTGCAACAGCCCGGGCCGCGGCACGCTTGGCCTGCCGGTACTGGACAGCTGCCTCAGGAGTCCCACGAACCATCATGGCTCGATAGGACTCCTTCAGCCTGACGGCATCCCTTACTGCCGGTGTCCACCACCGGGTTCGGGGACCAGCACCAGAGACCTTGCGACCACAGCTACGAGCCGCTTTATTGGCGATAGAGGAAGAGAACATGGTCCACTCGGACTCAATGTCCCCCTCCTCTGGGTCCTGGGAGAAGCTCTCCCGGAGGTGTGAGTTGAAAGTCCGTCTGACAGGGGGCTCAGCGAGACGTTCCCAGCAGACCCTCACTATACGCTTGGGTCTGCCAGGTCTGACCGGCTTCTTCCCCTGCCAGCGGATCCAACTCACGACCAGGTGGTGATCGGTTGACAGCTCCGCCCCTCTCTTTACCCGAGTGTCCGAGACACGCGGACGAAGGTCAGATGATACGACAACAAAGTCGATCATCAACCTCCGGCCTAGGGTGTCCTGGTGCCACGTGCACTGATGGACACCCTTGTGCTCGAACATGGTGTTCGTGATGGACAGACTGTGACTGGCACAGAAGTCCAACAACTGAACTCCGCTCGGGTTCAGATCAGGGGGGCCGTTCTTCCCGATCACCACCTCTCCAAGTGTCACTGGCGTTTCCCACATGGGCGTTGAAGTCCCCCAGGAGAATAACGGAGTCCCCGGGCGGTGCACCGTCCAGTACCCCTCCCAAGGACTCCAAGAAGGCCGGTACTCGGCACTGCTGTTAGGCCCGTAGGCCGTCACAACAATGAGAGACTTGTCCCCCACCCGGAGGCAGAGGGACGCACCCTCTCATTCACCGGGGAGAACTCCAACACGTGGCGGCTGAGATGGGGGGCAATGAGTATGGCCACCCCAGCTCGCCGCCTCTCCCCGCGGGAAACACCAGAAGCTGACTGACAGGTATGAGATGATGATACAATCATCCCCATCTGAGAAGTCCTCTATCTCAGAGTTGTCTGCAATTGCCAACAGCAATTGTTCTGCTCTTGATAATGAAAGTGTGCCTATAATGATAATTTTAAAAACCAACATCAAAATCTACAGTATATCAGTGACACATCATAGCTTGGCTATCATGTGCTAGCTATAGCCTAGCTATATTGTTTATGATTAAGCATTTAGCAACACTAAACAATACTTAGCATATACCACTTAGTACTTAAATATACTATTTACAACTGCAAACCACATAACTAAGCAAAGGTGTGATTGAAAATAACTATTTACAACTGTAACTTCATCTAAATCTTCCACACGGTTAGCTAAACAGATAGCGGTACATAGTCCTAGCGTCCTCAAACGAGTGCTTCACTTTTACTGACATCTTAGCCTGCTACTGCAATCAAAATTTGTCAAATTTCAAACTCCATATGAAGCTAGAGACATTATTGTGCATAAATAAATTGACTTGAATTTCAATAGCCACATATCATCTGTGACATCATCAGCTTACTTCCACCTAAGAAACATTGCTAAAATTAAAAACATTGTGTCTAAAGCAGACTTGGAGATTCTTATCCACGCATTTGTCTCCAGTCGATTGGACTACTGCAATGGCTTGTTCACAGGTCTCTCTAAACAAGCGGTAAAACAGCTGCAGTACATCCAAAATGCTGCAGCTCGAGTCCTGACTAGAACCAGGAAGTACGACCACATTAGTCCGGTCCTCAGGTCTCTGCACTGGCTTCCTGTGGCTCAGAGAATAGATTTTAAAGTAGCTTTACTTGTGTACAAGTCTCTCCATGGCCTCGCACCAGGGTACATCCGCGACATGTTGGTGCCATATGAACCAGCTCGGGCTCTGAGGAGCGCAGGGACTGGACTTCTGTTGGTGCCAAGAGTCGGAACTAGACATGGGGAGGCTGCGTTTCAGATTCATGCGGCTAGAGTCTGGAACCGTCTTCCCGAGAGTGTGAGACAGGCGTCTACTCTAGCAGTTTTTAAAACTGAACTGAAAACAGTTCTTTTTAGCTGTGCATACAAGTGAATGATTTTACATTTGTTTTTATCTTTAATCTTTTTAATGCGCTATGATTATTTATGATTATTTATGATTGTAATCCCTTGTGTGATTTTAATTTTTTACGGTTTTTAACTACTTGTGTGATTTTATATATCTTGTGCTCTTAATCTGTCTTTTTATGTTTACTTAAATTCTAATGTTTGATGATTTATGCATGATGTTATATGGGTTGTGAGGCGCTTTGCGTTGCCTTGTGTAGGAAAGGCGCTCTATAAATAAACGTTGATTGATTGATTGATTGATTGATTGATTTCATTCATAAAATGTTGATAGAATTTTTACCTGGGGCATTTTTCTTCTGTGAACTCTTGTAGAAGTCTTTTGTTGATATTCCCACCATTTTTTTCCTACTGCCTTAAGTGTAATTCTATCATATCACCACAAGATGGCGCGGGCAGTGTCCCTAAATGTGGCCATCAGGTCAAGGATGTAAAAAATTGAGTATCATTGTGCCAAGAGGCAATAATGTAATGTCCTCGTATGAGGTCGCAGGGTCTCAGGAGGTTAAAGTGAGAGTTTGTTGGATAGAACCAATTTATTTCCAAGCTCCACTTGCTAAACAAAAACGCAACAACAGCCTGGTTTATCAAAAAAGTAACGTTAGAACAAACACAAAAGGTCGATGTGTCTCCATTAGAGGAGTAGATGAAGAAAATTCAAATTTAAAGTAATAAACACATAAAGAAACTAAAACCTAAAAATATCTTAACTCTCCCATTATACAGTTGTTTTTTTGAAATATATACTGTAGATTTGAGCACAACCTACTCAGGAAATGCTTTGTGCTTTATATTGTAATTAATTAGTATGGGGTCAGTCATTTGTTTATGCTTTGTTGACAATTGTAGTCTAAGTGAAGACACTGAAATAAATAAACTAAATAAAAATAGAAAACATGAGTGTGAAGTTCTTTGTATACAACTTCCACTAGAACAAGTCTGTTTGCAGTTAGAAGAAATGATGTTTATTAGGTAAATAATGATGTCATAGCCCTCCTTTTATGGCCTTCTCTGTTTATGGTCTACATCCTGACGAGATTGCTTAGAGTATTGTGGAATTTCACCGTATAGTATTTTTTCTATTGCAGGTGCATTTCCTAAAATATATGCTTTCTTACTGGGAGCGATTTTGCTATTTTACAAATCAGATCTGTAACTTGGCCTATGACTGTCTCTGCTGATCTTCACGGAAACATAATGCCCACTGTGCATTGGTTAAAGAAAAGCAGCTGGGATGATCAGTATATTCTTCACGTCGCTCCCATCTGCGTGTGGAGTAGGAGACAAATGGCCACAATTGTAAAGTGCTTTGTGACTTTGGTCTGTGAAAGGCGCTATATAAATGAAGATTACTTACTTAAGAATGACAGTTTCACCCACTGTGTATGTAAGTATCCAATAGTTAGAATATTGAATAGTAAATGTTTGCGTTTTATTCAATCAAGCAATTCATCCATCACTGAGTATTCCAAAAGATGTAAGATGAACTAAAAGAATTTAAGAGGATGTGTGTTGATTTTGGGTAATCTTATTCTTGCTGTATTAGCTTTTTTTCTTGTACTATGGCCCCCTTCGCAAATCCATCTCAGGGGGCTATTCTTACAAACAAACAAAATACTGACACTGACATTGCTAATATTAGAAGATCAAAAAGCTTTCTTACCTGGTTCTCTCGCAGCGATGTCCTTTGACACGTGTTTGGCCAGTGAAGACAGCTGTGTCTGGAGTCTTTGTATTGCCCTCTGCATTTCTGTTAGATCTGCGCCATGACTTCCACATGAGCTGTTCACCTTCTGGATACAATCCTTTATTCCAAAGACATTTCCCTCTAATTGCTCCTTCACATTTTGTAAATTTGTCGAAAGGCCGTCCAACTTCCCACACACCTCTTCTAAAGACGACACACGATCAGAGACAGTAGAGAGGTTCTCCGAAACCTTTTGGTTGTTCCTTTGGCATTGTCCGACTCTATATGTTAGCTGGGTTGTCATTGTATCTAGTCTGTTTCTGAGCTGGTCAATCTTTCCAACCAAAGTAGTTGCGTCATAGTCTTCGACACGTTCTGTGGTACCCGGTATCTGGTCCAAGCGACAGCAAGTTGAATTCATTGCATGCATTTCATGATTGTTTTTATTCATTTGGTCAGTTAACCCGGTAACAACTTGAGCTAAACCCCTCACATTATCCTGCAAGTTCAGCAGTCCTCTTTGGAAGTCTACCACCATCATGTTGTATCTTTCATTTCCAGACTGATGCCCTTCAACTATCCTTTCTAGATCATTGAACCGTTCAGTATTGACATGGACCTTGTTACTCAGGACATCCAACTCATTCTTGTACTGCTTTAGATCCTTCATAAAGTGTGTGAAACCCGTAGAAGGCGCAGACGATGGGGAAGTGGCGGTCTCTTTATCCCCTGAACCCAGGCATCCTGCCGAGCAAATCTCCCCAACTGCATTGATCTTGTCATCCAAGCTCTGAATCATTAACTTGTTGTTGTTGAGCTGTGTGGTGAGGTGTGTGTTGAGTTGCGTGTTGACTCCACTCATAGACTCGCCAACTATCGCTGAGAATGAGTTGTTGCTAATCTCCACAAGCATGTTTGTGAACTGGTCCTCCATTCCGTTCAAACGCTCGTCTATCAACTTTCTTATGTCTGTTGCTTCTTCCGTGATAGCTCGCGTCAACTTTTCCTCAACGTAAAAGCAATGCGTCTCTGCGTTTTGCTCTGTTATGTTAACTCGTGCTTCCAGCTCCTCAATCAAAAGGTTGATATCACTGCTTGAACCCTCTTGGTTGGACAGGTGAGCCAGTTCATTGTCGATTCGTACGTTCAGTATCCGGTGCGCCTCTGCTATGCGATCAATCTCCCTCCACAGTTCTTTATGGTCGTTATTCTCGTCTTTTGCCACATCTGTCTGTCTTTGCGTTCTCACCGGTCCGTCGTTTGCTGCCAACTCCAATCGCAACGCCCGTATCTCCTTCCTTAGATCATTTTCTTTCACCTCCACAAGCTTGGTTAAAGTCGTAGATTGGTCGTCACAGGTCTTCTGCACGGTCTGGATTTTGTCGTAACACGAAACTTGAAGCTTCACCAACTGTTCCTGCACGTTTTGGTTCAGCTCTTTCTTCAGTTTCTCGAGCTTACCGTCAATATACGTTTGGACAACATCTATCTCTGGTATGGTGGGGGTCTGTGCTTGCGATGCATCCATAAGAACTCGCAGTTGTCCTTCATGACCAGACACGGTTCCCTTTAAATCCTCAATTGCCTCGTCTTTGCTTTTCAATGCATTGTTCATGTCATCCAACCTGGCAACTATCTTCTCGATCGCCTTATCGCCGACCAGTCCCCCTCTATTGGTCTGATGACCATCCAAAACCGCAGGACTCTCCTCTTGTATAGGCGCAGTGGCATTTTCCGGAGGTCGCATGTTGTTGAATAATGTTACGATCATCTTTTTTGTGTCGTCCTCCAAGTTTGTTTTGAGATTATTCGTCAGTCCTGTCAGAGAGGACTGAAGATCCAGGACGGTTTGGGATAGACGCTGAACTTCATCCTCCAAAAGCCGCACCTTGTCCGGACTACCGTGTCTGGTCTCCTGCTGCCCCGTCTCTCTGCGCTCGGTCCCTGGAATGACACATAATGAGGATAAAGTTTTTTGGAGCATTTTGATATTCAGACAAGAATGTGTGTCAAGTTGTAAAAATTGCGTTTTAACATAATTGCGTGTAAAGCAGGGGTGTCAAACTCCGGGGCCAAATTTAAAAACATTAGAGCTTTATGGGGACAGAAGTGTGAAATTTTGTTGACAAAATAGTTGTGTTTGACATAAGTTCGATATAAGATCATATTTTCTTGCAGGTTTAGATTCAACCAAAACTGGCCCAAACATCAATATGAGGAAGACTGATAGTAAAAAAAAAGGTAACTATAATTAAATATACAATGCCATAGCAGCCACTTACCATCAATGCTGCAAATTACTAGCCTGGTTGTACCACACCATAGTACAAATTACATTTAATACTAAGGTCTGGAGGTGCTCCATTGAGCTCCGTTAACAGGTGGGAGGGGAAAACTCCTTTTGCAGATTGAAACGATTGGATCTGAGTTTACCGTGACATACAGTATGTAATGAAATGCTAGAATTTAGCATTTAGCCTAGCCATCTCCGCTAACGGAGCCCGTGGGGAGTAGCACCACAATCTTTGCCAGCAATGACATTTGCTAAACATTGATCTTGCTCCGGCTTCAATTTCTTGATAGAACCAGACTGGATTACTTTACTATTGCATTTTTCACCATTGCCAAACTACAACCTGCCCGTTCGGCGCAAACTCTTGACATCACCCACATCTAACTACAACACCCGCCTCCTGCGCTCGCTGATTAGTCGGATGGAATTCAGCCGATGTAATCAGCCTGTAACGTCTGGGTCTGGTCCCTGTGTTTGCGATGATGATTGACCGGAGTGTACGGATGGCTAAGGCCAGGCTAGCAAGTTACTAAAGATAATTGAGAATAATTTCAGGGGCCACTAAGAATTGTCTTGCGGGCTGGATTTGAGGTACTGTTGAGGTTAAGGATTCGACCACACCATTAATTAACCACAACATGCAGGAAGTTAAGACATTTTACAATTATAGGATATTTTTCTCCCAAGAAACAGGAAGTGTGTTAGCATTTTTTTAGCGAACAGCAAAACATGTTCTGAGCTCTGAAAGTGGTAACAAGTGTCTATATGATACAATGAATGAGAATGTGAGAAATAGCTTGGCCTGATACAAACAGTTGAGAGTTTAGGTAATAACATCGCAGACTTACTAATGTCTGGTAAAAAAGAACCAAACACCTTCAGAAACAGTTAAAATAGTTTTTGACAACTTTCAGACCTGAAATAAAAAAGTGCAGGGCCTAGAGAGTGTACTAATATTATATTTTACTGTGTTAGTAAACTAAAGATTATTTTAATGATCAAATGCAGCTGAACATCCTTCCTTGATTATCTCAAGAGCAGAAAAGTTTTCAATTTGTTTTGCCTCATGCCGAACCATTGAACTTGTGTCAGTAAACACACTCATGAGAATACATAATGTAATCCTAAATCAAGAGCATATGTATTTTGTAATGCTGTGTGTTTTTTTTTTAAAAGTGGGTGAGTAACTGCTGAACCAATAAAAAAGGTTCTTACTTTGTGTGTGTCTGGGGTAGGCTGGGTTTTGTGGAAGAAAAGTCTGTGTCCCTGGATCAATGGGTTGATTGGACACTGGTTTCATGTCTTTACAGTCTGGACCCGTGAAACCTGGACAACATCTCCACTCCAGATCCGTCACTCTTTTGAAGGCAATCTTGTAAGTCGGCCGGAATCGTGTTCTGTACCTGTAGAGAATAAAATCAAAATGAATGATGTTGCAAAAAACATAAATAATGTCTTATTGTGTTGTTTTCATGGTTATTCTAGCACTGGCACAAATATGGCATTCGGTTTAGTGTCAGATCCATTCATATCAGTGCTTTGCTAACGTTTCAGAAAATCTCTGAAGCACCTACTGGTATTATTTATACTACAGTACCTGATAATGATGTTTAAAGCAGAGAGCAAAGGTCTGAGGTACTCTGTCTTAACTTAAAAATCCTTTATTGTGGAAGGGACATTTCATCATTTGCCTTGATACAGTATATATTATATTTTTATGATCTCCGTAGGCACTCACTCCCCTTGTGTATTTTTACTGTTTGTGATAGTTGTATTAGGAACACAAGTAAAAAATATGTTTCTAACTAAATTCAGTCATTCAACCCTCACTTCTGGTTTGATCCTGTTGAAATCTAGTTCTGTGTTCAAACTTGTGGGTCTGGGTCACAAGTCTGTCTGTTGTGAAAAGTCTCTGGTTTCTAATGGACACATATTCATTTGTTTGCTGGTTTTACCCGCAAATGAACCAGAGCTGCTTTATGAATATATATATATATATATATATATATATATATATATATATAGCTGTCTATATGAAATAGACCAAGAAGTGTGAATGTGCCTTCAGTCCTGACTCAGTCCTGGTTCAGGGCTAGTACTGTATAGTTCTGGGCCAGACCCGGTTTAGCCACCTTCCTCATCCTTCCCTGAGTACCGCTGTGAGAAATTTGCAAAGAATTGACAACAGAAATTGATACACTTGCTGTATATTCATGACTTAAGAGGACATTTGTACGCACATTCATACACACATAGGACAAAACCGTGTTAAACTGTGTTAGAGATAAGGTTAAATCAACAATATTGCCTGTGTTGCAAATTAGTTTGGAGAGTTGCATCACCTCATCCCGGTCAGAACTCTTTATATTGACTAAAAGCCCACGAGTTGACATTGCTACACAGGGTTTGAGATTGAGACAGTTTTTATACCGCCTTCAACCGTCCAAGGAAAGACTCCCAGATCTATACATTTGTGAGCGCCTTTACGTTTACCCCACTGCAGGAAAAACCTTCAAATCCTTCAAGTGGAGGCACTCAGCTCCCACAGAAACAATAGATGACCTCACTTCCCTGTAGACCGCTGATGTCAAGAAAAACATCTGGAAAGAGGAGGAATGAAACTACGCACATCTCACTCTGATAGCACACAGCAATGGTTCAACAATCACAAGAACGTCAACCAGGACCATGGGGGATTCATCAGCGACCGGAATGTTTCATAAAACATTCACAGGGCTTTAGTCAGTTGCCACAAAAGTCTTGTTCGCTCGTCACATTTCCTATTTGTTATGAACATTTCAACAGAGGGCGAGAAAGGGGAAAGAATCATATTGGGGAGAAGTCATTTTAAGTAAAGTTTCAAATATTCACACGCCCATAAAGATGGAGGAAGGAACGTGATAATATTTAGACCTCATAAAGGATGGTGACAGGGATGTATTAGAACATGTTTCGAGTCAAAAACAGAGGCTTGCTTATCTCTATGGAGACTACATTTATTTGCCTGGAAACTTAAAAACAATAGTTAAGGGAACGTTTATACTGAAATAGGGAGATTAATGCAAGTTATACTAGTGTTATATCATAATATTAATTTAGCTCAAGCTGTATTTGAGTGTGTTTTTCCCTACATTAGAATGCTGCAAGGCCCAATTAGCAAGTGGTATGCTCAATGTAACTGCTGTGTCCATATCAAATAAATAAATATATTCTAATTCGTCAGGACATCACCCCAGTCCTTTATTCCCTACATTGGCTTCCAGTTTCTTTTCGAGTTGATTTTAAAATTTTACTCTTTGTTTTTAAAGCCCTCAATGGTCTCGCCCCACCGTACTTGTCCGAACTTTTGTCTGTTCGTGACTCAGGCAGATCATTGAGGTCATCATCTCAACTCCTCCTGGAAGTACTGTACCTATGGCTAGGTCCAAACACTGGGGAGACCGGTCCTTCTCAGTCGCTGGACCCAGACTCTGGAACAAGCTGCCTCCTGACATGTCTGTCCTTACTGATTTTGGCCTTTTAAAATCCAGGCTCAAAACGTATATTTATGCATGACCTGCTTTTAATACTTTTATCACTCAATAGCAGGTGACACTTTTTAAATGATTTTTTTAACTGTTTTATTGTTTTTAATGTATAAATGTTTTAAATGGATTTTATGTAATTTTATTGAAGCACTTTGGTCGCCTTGAGTGTTGTAAAGGGCTCTATAAATAAAATCGATTGAATTGATTGATTGAATTCCTCCTAACTACACCTTTACTAAGTTGGATAGCTACAGTATGAAAATTCACTAATTTGTCATAAGGTTAAAAACTATTTATATCTTATACACTACTATGTATAAGATATACATGCCAGTGTATGATACAATTCTACAAACTAAAAATAAAATACCAAGAAAGGACCAAGAGTCAAAATTATATGCCTTGTTATTGATTGGTTACGTTATACAGTCTACAAACAGGCATTAAAAGTTCTGGATATACAACTTTTTCACCTCCATTACTACAGCCTCTTTGCCAAATATAAGCTGTAAGGCTGGGAAACTTTGTGAGATTCCAAGATGATCCAGGTTTAGTGGCCCCTTCGTAATGTTCTAATTTATTTGAGCAGCTAGCAAATATTCTAGCTGTCCCACTGAGAAAAAGTGGGACAGAAACCAATCAGGCGTCTCAATGCAAGCCATCCAGTTTTGGAACACGATGCCACCTCGCACACAAAAGGCAGCTACACTTAAAAAAAAAAAAAACATGGTTCTTGGATAATCCAGCCTGTAAACATCTGTAAATCTGTCTGTGCAGATGTCTGTGCCCGATGTCCTGCTGAAATACACTATTGTCTTTTGGCTTTTATATGTTCCAATTACCTGTCTTTTAATTGTAAAATTACAACATTTACTGAACATGCTTGTGCATTGTATATAGTAATGTTTGGTGTATTTTTGCTGGCATTTTCAATCTTTCCATGTGACTAAAGTTAGAAAGTATCTGTATAGCTAAAACTGGCACATTTACAGAAAAGTCTATTAATTTGTACTAATAAACTAACAAAATACAAATAAAATAGTACAATAACATCAATAGTTGGTTCAGGGTCTTGTGGTGAGACCGGGCAACACTTATAGGTTAAAATTGTTCTGTTGATCTTCTAAAATGCTGGATTATTTTAAACCACATATTTATAAAAAAAAGTGTATTCAACTCATGATGCCAGTTTTGCTTTTGGTGCAGAAAGCCATGCTCCCGTATTGACCCCGGACTTTCCAGGAATCACTCCCACAGCTCACCCAGCAAATCCATCACCGCACATACCACACGCCACTCTCAAACGTGCGCTTTCCCCAACTTACAAGTCATAATTATTGGCAACGCAACTTCCTGACAATACTAAATAACTTGTCATATCTAGACTTTTTCTACAGATCTATTTCTTTTTGAAGACACGTGAAAGTTAACAGTAAAATGATAACCTATTGACAGATGTATTGTTACTGTTGTAGCCCTACACGGTAAAACAAAAAAACAATTATTGTCATATTACCAATAGCCGTTACCCAATCAATGGTTACTTCATGGGGAGTAAAGACAGACTGATGTATTGTTTGGATATAGATCAACTTTAAGTGCGTCATAAAATATAATGTAGAATTCGTCTGTGTCAAACAGGGACAACCAATTTGTGCTCAATAAAAGTGCATTACGACACATGCTGTTGCTCAGATACAGGAAACACAGAAATGGATATTGGCTCCTGCCGGTTTTGCTTTCTGGTTTGTTTATTTGTTGGCAAGATAAATATGGTTTGATTTTAATTGCATGTTCAGGAAAAAAAGGAAACGGGAGAAAATAAATATATTCTTTGTCTCAGGCGCAGGAATTCGGTGCAACTGTGAGAATGAGCCAAAGTCTATTCCATGATTGTTTATAAAGTCTCTGGGATTGGTTTTATAAAGTTTTAGACCAGTGTTTCTCAACCTGTGCCTCCCTGGGACCCAGATGACAATCACTGATGTAGTTGTGACCCACCATCATCAAATTAGGCTTGTATTATAAATATAAAAATATAACATAAAGGAACCTGTAGGACACTGGTTTATCTGACTCAAGCCAAAGCTAAAGCTAAAGCCATTACATAGATCCTTCTGCTCTGGTTTTATCCTTTTCAAATCTGCTTTGGTTCATCTCTGATTTAGTCCTGCTTTAGCTCTACTTTAATCCTGGTTTAGCCATAGACTGTAGGTTTAGCTCTGCTTTTAGTCTGAAGTTTTTAAGTTGGATTTATTAAGGACTATGTGCAGTTGCATTAAAAAGATAGCTGCTCCAGATTTAGCACCTGTCGTCCTTGATAATACAATATAACTTGCATATTAATATACAGTTCAAATAAAAAGTGCATGTTACTAAAATACATTTTAAAATAAAGTTCATCTCTGCTTCTGTCCCGGCCCCTTAACTTATGGTGCGTTCACAGTTGTCGGTCTGCTTCACTTTAAGTAAGTAAGTAAGTAAGTGATGTTTATTTATATACCGCTTTTCACAGACCAGAGTCACAAAGCGGCTTACAATTGTTATTTTTTTTGGGCATCTCTCACTCCACACAGAGATGGGAGCGGGGGGTGTCCAAACTATTTAGGAAGAGGGCCACTTTAGTTCACCAGACTTGTCCAGGGGCCGACAACAGGGATTCTGAGCTATTCAACTGGGTTTGATGTATAATATTGTGCATATTGATTCACACCACAGCTACACTAGTGCCATTTTGTCAGACAATCATACCCGCATGCCACTATATAGAAATAAAGTTAATGGCTTAATTCCAAAGGTTCACAACAAAGTACAGCATGACTATATTTGTGGAGCTGAAGTTTTCTGAATGACACTATGAACGTGCCTCAATTGCT